ATTGAGTTTAGTGCTTCTTCTATGTCAGGAATGACGTCCTCTAGTTTTAATTTATTAACTGTTACATTGAAATTTAGTCCTTTCTGAAGTACTTTTATTTCACTAGAGCTTAGTTCCCTTGATGAGAGGGGTTGATCACCCATTTTGTTCTGTCAACAGAGGATGAAGTGTTGACATCAATTTCATTTGTTGTGTTCTTTTCTTCCATTAGTTTGTTGAATTCTTTTGATTTGTGTGGTTTTTGATTTTATTAATGCTGATTCTTTAGCTTTTTCGGATGTTTCAACAACAATTACATAATCTTTGTCATTGATCATAAATGAAGGAAGAAAATTGTGTGAGTGAGTGACTTGACATGAGATTATGAGCAGTAATAATTTTTGATCGTAACGTGTGGTCATCAGTTAATATTACTGTATAACACTCCACTGTGTGACTTTATCAAAATAAAATCTTATCCATAATGGTCTCAAGAGTCTGTCCGCTAGACTTAGGAGCCTGGAAGTAATAGCCGTCCACATACATACATACATACACACACACACACACACAAAGCTTTCTGAATCACCACCCATCCTTATTCATCTGAGATAGGAAATTATTACCATTTGTCATATGGTAGACTGGTTAATCACAGTCATCTAATCAATATTCAAAGGTTTAAGCTGAATGTTTCAGAAAAAAGCATACTGGGCTATTAACAAATAAAAGAGCCGTTCAATACTTGAATCGACCTTAAGTAATTAGTGAAGTAGGTGTCTTGGATGTACTTTTCAAGTTTTGGTTTTGTAGGGATTTTGTTTGATTGGATGGAGGATTTCATCAGGAGCTGACATCAGCTAGAGAACCACTAGGACAGCGAGCTGTTTCATTCTAGTTTGGGAATCTTCAGCAGTACGTACTAACCCCAGGGTTTCGAATCCAGGACCTTCTGGTTACAAGGCTGGTGAGCTCGTAGGCCATTGAACCACTGAGACCCGATCCAAAGGCTAGTCCATGAATTCTAACTTCTGCCAATTCATTCACGACATAACGCAACCATTTCACAATGTCTTCTTCGATGAGTTACTGCCTCATCTTCAACCTGCTGTACCCTACTGGTATCGGCTCCCCACTTATCTCTGAATACAAGTCAGCATTATATCAGAAAAGTGTTAATAAGAGGTCGTAGACATTTCTTTAATAGTAAATACTTTGATATATTCAAAGGTTGATATCATCAAGAACTGAAATCATTCAAGGTACCACTTAGAATCAGAGACCAGTGGACAGTTATTTCTTTCTGCTTTGTAACTTTTCAACGGTAATAACATCTATGTGCATTTATCAAATCAACTGCACCTGCGATGACAGTTATGCTGGGCACAGTACTACTAGACAGCTTAGCCAACGTGTCACTATTGAACATCTCCCATCGTGGTGGTTTGACAAAGGATAGACAAAAACAATCCCTAGCTCAATTTTGTCACACTTAATTGATAGTGGTCATGTAGTGGAGAAAATGACAGCTTTCAAATTAATTCAGCGTATCCCACCGAACCTTTCCAACAGACTTTGTATTCGTCTACTGCACACAGTTGAGGCAGGCGACAGGCATTCGAACTATTAGACCTAAACTATGCAGTCAAAAGACGTTCGTACACACAGCCATTATCCCTCCCTCGTTGGCCTATTAAGACATAACTAACTGATGATTTCTACACCACCCCTTCCTTATCATCCCTTAATCTTGTCACATCTTCATTAAAAACGTGTCTCATTTACTTCCCTTACAGTCTAGCATTACTTAATGGGTTCATTTGTTTTTACTCGCCTTTATCGACTACTTCCACATGAACATTTCTTTGTTTAATCATGATGTTTTTTCATTCTTCGTGTTATCACAGATTGCCTCACTTTTTCATCATTATTATTGATAAAACCCTTATTATTATCATTACTATTATAATGACTAATTGCATAATTTATATTCACCATCTTATTATCCTATAGACAAAACGCCATAATTGGTTTTTATTTGAATTTTTATTTGTAAACTTATGTAGATATATTAGAGTAAAGCCTGATGAGATCTAATTGAAACCACAATATTGTTCGCTTAAATGTTAGTTGTTCTAAATAATAGAAGTGACACAGAGAAAGTCGCATATGAGGATAGACACTCGTGGATATCACTGGGTGAATGCTGTTATACATGCATATGACAAATTTACAAAAGTTAGAATTTATCGGTCATTAGAGGGCAAAAAACTCAGTGTAGCTGGATGGTTAAATGACTCGCCTTGAAATCCAACCGTCCTAGATTTCAATCAATAGTTGAGTCGAGGATTTACACTGCAGAAGAGTCATTAACTAGGATATGATACCTATTCAGTGCCTACTTGTACTCAGTCACTTTCTGCAGATTATGTCGTTTCATGGCGGAACCAACCAGTTTCTAATATTTCAGTACTTGGTGATAAAATAAAAAAAACTCCAAGTGGTGGAAAGGCTAAATGTCACCTGTGTCATTCCATTATGGATAAGATTTTATATTGATGAAATTTCATGGCGTTTGTTAAACAGTAATATTGATTACTGATGACCACATTTCGAGCACAATTCATTACTGCTCATGATCTCATATCAAGGTAGTACTCACACAAAATTTCTAACTCCGTTTATATAATTTCATTATTTTTCATCGCTTGACTTGATGATTGGTAGTAGTGTGAAAACCGAAGACAAGGGTCAGGAAACAGATCATTTATTAATGAAATCAACACATATTTATAGATTTTCATGTACATTATTATAGATTATTGTTAGCAGAAAAACACAGTCTTCCGACTGATTGGTTGTTTCTCACAGAAAGTTTACCTTGAATCTCTTTGTGACTGTTTCTTGAATGTCATATCATCTATATGTTAAATGTATCCGCCTACGCAAAGCCTTTGTTCTCATTTTTCTCACGACTAATAATATTGGGGACATAAATCTTGACGTCAGTTACTGTCCACTAATTTTGGCTAACAGCCAGCTCTCACCACAGTAGTATTTTCCATATTTCAAGTATGAATGAGGATGAGTCATCTCCATTGCACGTGTTTCGTGTAGACTGGATGAACAAAGATTCAGTAATCAACCTCTCATTATCTCCACCTACTTACCTATATAACTTCTTAGAATTTCAACCTTCTCCCACCACCCTATTGTGTGGTTGTGTGTTAATACGTGAACTGCGATTGCTGAGCTTTTCTAAACTATTTATCTTCTTGAGGTCAACCATTCTTATCTTAGCTAAATTCTTATGTTCCGACAACCTGACCTATAAAGTCCACCTGACTCACATTGATTGCAAGATATTTTGTAAATTATATTATTATGTCTTATTGGATCAACCGAAAGGGTCTTTTAACCTACACAGCTTGTCAACCCCCCTGAGTGAGTTTATAGGTTTGTATGCCACCCTAATTTCTGCTTCATTAAGAAACCTACGTGGGGAGAGTATCAGATGTCCCCTCCCGCCTTATATGGTATAACAGTGGATGACTTATATTCTCTCTTATTTATATTATCATTACTGGTTTCAGAATTATTTTTATTGTGGTTTTGGCCTTTACTGATCTTCCTAATGAATTTTATAGGATAGTTGGTTATTTAACACCGACGCTTACTCTTCTATCTGTTTTATTTCGTCATTTAGGTCTCTTTTTGTGCTACTTAGTGCTACTGCTCGGTTTGTTAGACAGACACTTAACTAAGCCTGCCTTCACTCACAGACAGATAACGGATGAGATGCACTAAAGTCTAAATATCTATTAACAGAATGAGTTGGCCTATTTATAAACACATCTAGTGTGCAGTTTACCTTCTTCTATTCGTTTTTATTTTACAATCTAACACATCATAGCTAATTCTCCTTGTTAACTTTCGGATTCAAATGTGAATTTTTGGTCCCTCAACTAGTGAATTTATATGTATGTGTCAAGAAGCTATAGAGAGATATATGTTCTGCTTTTTTTTAACACTGTGTGCGTGTGTGTGTGAAAGTGTCATCCACCTATCTCCACTATATTTTTGGAGTAGGATTACATTTTCAAAAGAATGGATACTGACCAAAGAGTACTCTTTTCGATAACCCCTTCTTAATCAGGCTGTACAGTCATATATACATTATAGTGAATGAATGAATGAATTAGTGTTACGAACAACATTAATGTTGCTGTTTAAATAACATCGAATCAATAATAATATTGATAGATTACAGCTCAGTAGCGTCAACATAAAATAAGCTGAATGTCAGACAGACAAATTAGGAAGGATAATATTACAAATTCATGAATTTATAGTCTCTACTGAAGCGTGGACAAGGCAGTAATAGAGGTTGGACTTGCTTCTTCTGAACACAGAGCACTGGTCGTTTGAAGCGAATTGCAATAGCCTCTGCTGTTTGGAGCATGTGGTGCTTCGATGATTTTGGCTGGCTTTGTTGCCGGTTTGCACTAGATGGTCGAATATCAAACTGGTGTGGTTTTCACCACATCTTTACTTAGCCATACTGGGAGATGTTCTCGAGTGAGCACGAAAAATCAGGCTCCTAGAACAACGGCCAATATAACTCGCTGCATCACAAGCGCAGTTGAATTGGTAGATACAATTTGAAGTAGCTAGTCTAGTCTAGGTACTACTTCATCTTTCAGTCGGGGTAGCACCATCAGTCGTGTAGAGAATAATAAGTGTAGCTTGCCAGCATTAAGAGTTCTTTGAACTGATTTTCTTAATTTCCTCGTAATTATCTCACTTGGTATATCTCCCTTGATGAAGTTATCGAATAGAGTACTCTTTGTTCAGTATCCATTCTTTTGAAAATTTTAGTAGGATTAAATGTTGTGTTAAGAGCAGTATTTTCCCCGGCTGTCTTACTTGGATGAATATGTCTCAGTATTCACAATAATATTTAAATCGATCATTCTTTTTTTTGTCTTTATAACTAATACTATTATTATAATTCTGTTTAGAATGGGGTTTATATTCTGAACCAGAAAAAACCGATGAAGAAACGTATAATTTATATCAAACTGGCGTCAATGGTAATAATAATCCACCACGTGAAGATTTTCTCATCCGAAAAAATCCCATTTATTACGGTATGGATGAAAACAGCAACAATAATGATAATAATAATAATAATAATCGTAATCCATATCAAGGTATATCTGATCGATTACCGTATAACCATTACCAATCGATAAACACATTAAATCAAAGACCGTATTCAAGTAAACCACAAGAAAATCAACAAAGAGAAAACTTCAGGATTGATGAATCATACCCAGATCGAAATGAATTGACCAATAAGATGAAAACATCCTTAACGAGTAATGACTCCTCCTCCTCCTCCTCTTCCTCGCCAACATCATGGTCAATAAATCAATCGAAATTCAATTCATTCCCAGAGATAACAACTACAACACCTGAACCAGAGTTAAGAGAAGAGCCTATCGATGAGCTGTACGGCAGAATTGATCAAGACCCCTATGATGCACAGTTGAGAGCATTGCAAGATATTGAAAATTGTCGTAAAGCACAAAGTATTCATATACAAACGATTATCGATTCACAATCAGAGAATAATAATAATACCAACAATTATTTAGATGAAAGTTTCAATACTTCAGAAACCTCATCATCAACACATACAACGACGTCAATCTCAGGTGGGAATTCAATGCATTCAGCATCAGGACGTAGTGGTGTGGGTGGGGGTGGTGGGAAACCTCCACCAGGTGCACTACTGGCCTGTGTTCATCGATCTGTACAACAACGTTGTCATTCCGGCGCCGGGACTAGTAGTTTCACTGGACGTTATGCATGTGAAGCAATATGTGAAAGAGTCAGGGAACGTATCCCACAATTAGCTAATCGTTTAGAAGATTGTAAACAACCGTTGACATCGTGTACAGAAAGATTTGTCGCCTATAATATTATTATGGATAAGAGTACTAAGAAAAGCGTGAATAATAATAATAATAATAACATACCGGTAAAAAGTAGCACTTATCATTCATCATCACCAGCTGGTAATCAGCAGATGGCTATGGGAAATGAGCTGACAGGAGAATATTGTAATGAGTGCGGAGGACGGTGAGTATTATCTTTATTCTATGCCTTATTCTCAATCATTTTTACTCCTTCACGTTCCCAGTGGAACGTAGCGGGTGGGGCTTCAAGCTAGTGGCTTGAAGTCTCTGTAGCAGTGTTTGTTTTTACAGGATGGGTTTGCTAGCCTAAGGCCCAACCTTCCCTTTTTGCCAGTTCTATTACTGACTTAGCGAGATAAAGGAGTGCATCGGTGGCCGGGAATCGAACCCAGGACCATGTGCATGGTTGGCGAGCGTCCTAACCGCTGTGCCACCGACGCACCTTATTCTCCTTAGTGATATATATATATATATATATATATATATTCAAGCATGTCGACTGACCATTCATCAAATAATTACATTAGAATAAATGTGAGTGGTAGAGAAGATCTGTAACTCAGGGGATGATTCGCAATTAATAGTGTTTTCTGAGCTAGTTGGTTTAGTTGTGGAGCTTTCGTCATCCATCCCAAGGACAACATCCACATTCAACGCAATTTTAAACATAAAGTGAAATGATTTAAATTTTCTTCCATGAGTGATAGAATTGCGTCTCCCGGTAACCATCTGTATTACATCTGTATTGATCATTTTCTATTGACTTGGATTTTAAACTTTCTCGTCACATGATTTACCTTTTATTAGTTGGTATATTTGGTCTGTATTAACGTGTTTGTTAATTGCATATTCGTTTAAGTACCAGGCTTCTAAAAAATTACCTGGCGGTACTTTTGGTGTTTTCTCTATCTAAGATTTCGACATTATCCCAATCAAATTGATGTCCATAAGGCACGATATATATTCTTTCATAATAATGCATACAGACAATTATCGACATCAATTTGATTGGGATAATGTCGAAATATTAGACAGAGGAAACACCAAAAGTGCCGCCAGATAATTCCTAGAAGCCTGGTACTTAAACGAATATGCAATTAACAAACACGTTAATACAGACCAAATATACCAACTAATAAAAGGTAAATCATGTGACGAGAAAGTTTAAAATCCAAGTCAATAGAAAATGATCAATACAGATGTAATACAGATGGTTACCGGGAGACGCAATTCTATCACTCATGGAAGAAAATTTAAATCATTTCACTTTATGTTAAAAATTGCGTTGAATGTGGATGTTGTCCTTGGGATGGATGACGAAAGCTCCACAACTAAACCAACCAGCTCAGAAAACACTATTAATTGCAAATGTGAGTGGTGTTCAGAGGTAAAACATTCATCAATCACGTAAGTAGTCCAGGGGTTCGATCCCTGGACGATGTACTCCTAAAACTTGACTGGCTGGTATTGAAATTCCCAGCTCCATAAAAACAGTACTACCGTTATTGGAAATTCGAAGTTTAACACTTAGAGAGCCCTATGTTCTACTCGAAACACAAGGGAATGAAGAATAAAGCCAAGGTTTTCTGTATTAGGTGGACCTCGCGCAGGTCAAAACTTCTTACCGAAACTGTTGGTAACTTCGTGTATAGGGCTAGTCGATAATGAGCAGGAAATCAATTTTGATATGATAGAGAAGATTTGTAGCTCAGGTGGATGATTTTCATGTGGTTGTGTTCTCTGAGCTGCATAGTTGATTTGAGAAGCTTTCATCACCCTACTAGGTGACATCTTCAGCGCATACTTCAATTCGAAGTGAGCATTTAGATTTCTCCACGAGTTCATTAATCATCTCTCCTGGTGACTGGACGTGATTGGTTGTTTTTGTTCACATAAAAGGAAGGGAGCTCCCAATGTTAGACTGCAACGTAAAAAGGAAAGAAGATGGGAAGTTAAACACACTAGTGTGTTTACAGGAAACCAACACATTCAAACAGATATTTGAACTTCTGATCATCCCATCCTATATCAGTAAAAACAGGATTGTTGAAATGTTTAAATAATAGAGCACTAAGATAGAACTAATAGAGAACTAAGTAGTACCAAGGAAAATCTAAGACAGGAAGTGATACATAAAAGAGAAGCTTTGAAACTTAATAATCACCCGGATAAATTAGTCAGAAAGTATGCAGGAAAATGTAAAAATAAAACATAATTATAGTATCGATAGTGATAATAATAATAATGACAATAATAATGGTGATAACAATAGTAATAATATTAATGACGACACCAACAATAAGGAGTCTAAATCATCAGTAGTAATTCCGTACAAGGAAGGAAGCTCAGAAACCTTACGCGGAAATCTTAACAAGGCAGGAATAAAAGTGGCTAGCATTCAAACCACCCACAAACTCAATTAGAAACAAGCCTTGTCGATTAAAGGGTCGTGTGGAGCCTTTAAAACAAAACAATTTAGTCTATCTAATACCCTGCCTGAAATAATTGTCAGGTCAACTACACAGGTGAAAGTAGTAGAACAGGTGCAGTCAGACTAGCCGAACATTTAAAAAATGTAGATTAGTTGACCCTAATAAGATAAGAAATCTGGAGAATAGTTCAGCTATACCACTGACTACATGGAATCACACACAACCATACAATAGGCTGGATGGGATAAGATGACAGTTTTAAAATCTAATGCAACTAACAGGGTGGAAGAAGAGACTGATAACAGAAGCTTTCTTCATCGAATCAACTGCAAACACGTGTAATAGGAATGATTCGACACCTGTCCACCCAGATATCTGGAAAACTCTACTACCCTAATGGTGACAAATAGGAGAGGACAAAGAGAACTATAAAACTCAAGTTTCGAAGTCGTGTGATTATAATTGATGATGAAATGATGATGAATAATAAATTTTGTTCAAAACGTCATCCAGTTTCATCAGTTTGCGATATTTCTAATAAACAAACTAATATGTAAACCATTCAGTCCCTTGGACCTAATCAAACGTTTGCCAGTTCATGGCACATGGCGCAACTACTACCCAATGTAATGAGAGAGTAACAGTCCTCTTGCCAGACATGGTATCCTTGCAAATCAACTCCTGAATGGCACCATATAGACAGTTACGTCGAGTTCTAGTGAGAAGTCATAACTTGTGTGGTCCAAAAAGTCAGGTAAGGGGATGGTTCCTGGTGCATGACATTGGCCAGTTCTTTTATGTGTTAGTGGCCTAGCAAAATGTGCTGTTACAGTATTGATCTCAAACAAAACAACCTACGTAACTATAATGTGAATAGATTCGACAGTCACAGGGCAATGAAACGACCTTGAACGACCAATCAAATCGCTGCTCATCTGCTGAAATGAATTTTCGCATAGACAAGGACTGGTTTTGTATGTCACAAACATCACTTATGACAAACTTGGTCATATTTTTTTCCACATACAAGAGATCTATTTATCCTAGTTCTTTATTTGACGTAAATAAACTTTTTTTTTACACAATGAATACCAACTTTCCTCAAACGATTTTGATTGGTTGTTCAAGGGGCAAATTTAATCTTTAAGCACCACTAATTGCCAATTAGCGAATGACTTTGAATGCACCAATCGCAGAAAGGAGCCATTTTTGGTTATGGAATGCACATGGGCCATTGGATCGGGTCCAGTACTTTCCAGTACTTCCTGGCAGGTTTCCCAATGGTTCTCTAACTAATGTCAGCTCATGATGAAATCCTGTAACCTATCAAATCCCTACAAACCAACAGTTAAATATGAATGCACATATTTATTGAAAGAAAATGCTATGAAAACTGTATTAAACTGTTAAATAGGTTACCTTTCTCTGACATGTGATAAAAACATCACCCAGTTAGTTGAGCATAGGAGTATCAATTGAAAAGTTAAACCACAGTCTGTACATATATTTATCTAAATGACTATAAATGACATCTATATGAGATCCATTAATGGCACTAATCCTGTTTTCTAACCTTCCCCAAAAGCCTTCCATAGAATTGATATGTGTCGCTGTAATGAGATCCACAAAGTAATTAGAATGGTTGACTCCGTGATGAATATATCCAAGGGATGACAGGGAGTTGTAACCTTTCCATTCCTCTGTGTGTATTATACATCCCTGCTTCACCAGTCGAGTGATAATAGGTATTAAGGTAGTTGGCTTGCTGTCTACTATTCCCTCGACAGATCCTTTCTGTAGACAGGTGTAATATAAGCCGACCACTCAAAGATTGTTTGTTTGTTCTCAATCCCAATAAGACAGTTTCATCCACATGTACGACGACACCTTCTCCTCCCAATAACGAAGTAATTCTCTCCATTTTGCATGACGCGATATCTCTGCAGTGATAGTACCACTAAACTGTTGACAGGAGACTATTTTCTCTGTTTCAGCAGCTGTAACTCTCACAGGCTGTTTTAAAACCCAGTAATTGCAAATATACAAACTTTGGGTTAAGGACAAGTGGGACCTGGCAGAAAGTATTCCTACGAAATACTGGATTCATCAGTCTACCTTCCCTGACACTAACTCATCTTAAACAAACTGCACAACGATGCACATATCGATCAACAGACCTGTTGAAGCTTTTTATACTCATGACACCTCCACATGAATAAATCCTCTCTTTCCTAATCAAACACATATCCATGCAATACTGGAAAACCGGCAAAGATAAAACTTAAGCACCACTAACTACCAATCAGTGAATGACCTCAAGCGCGTCAATCACATGAAAGAGGCACTTTTGTGTATGGAATACAGATATTCACAAAATAAAAATGCATAAAAAAACTGTAGAAAAATGTTTCATGGGATACCTTTCTCTCACATGTGATAAAAATACCTCTCAGTTTTAGGCTGCAGTATCAACGGAGTATAACTCCATTGTGGGTGAAATTTATCTTGATAAAGTCTAACAGTGATAGGCAGTAATATTTATTGAGCAATGAATTGTGCTCGAAAAGTGGTCATCAGTAAATATTACTGTATAACAAATACTACTGTGAGACATTTGTAAACTATTCTGTCAAATCTTGACTACAGTTCATTTGAAATACTTTGAGACTTTATCAAAACAAATGTTATCCACAATGGAATTATACTCTACTACCATAGTGCATAACTTCTA